AAACCTGGGCTTCCATACCACCTCAGCAGTGCCACAAACTGATCACCTCCATGCCACGCCGAATTGAGGCAGTAATTAAAGCAAAAGGAGCCCCTACCAAGTATTGAGTACATGTACAGTAAATGAACATACTTTCCAGAAGGCCAACAATTCACTAAAAATGTATTTTTTATTGGTTTTATGAAATATTCTAATTTGTTGAGATAGTGAATTGGTGGGTTTTTGTTAAATGTGAGCCAAAATCATCACAATTAAAAGAACCAAAGACTTAAACTACTTCAGTCTGTGCGCACTGAATTTATTTAATACACGAGTTTCACAATTTGAGTTGAATTACTGAAATAAATGAACTTTTCCACGACATTCTAATTTATTGAAATGCACCTGTATATCCAAAATAATCTATATTGAATCGAATCGAATCGAATCGCAAGCTTGTGAATGAGGATTTAATCGTGAAATTTGTGTCAAAACCCAGCCCTAGTAATTACATCTAAAGTAATGCAGCTTCTTTGCCACCTCTGTAGGGCAAAGATGGCTTTGATTGGTACTAATTTAATTGGTAACAGCCTAGAGTGTCATATTACTTTAAACTAATTTACTAAAACAATTTAATTGACTAAATTTAAGAATTTAACATTTATTTATTATTGTTATTTATTTATTTATTGCAAATTGGCATCTCAAATGAGTTCACCTTCTTCATCAAATCATGACGTTCAATTCACATTTCAATAAAGTCAATCACTGAAACAACAGTACCACTTTGAGGAACAAATATGTATTTATTCACACGTTTAACATGCCAGTGGGATAATGACACATGATAGCCTATTTGTATAAATTGTGTAAACACACCAAGTCAAAATATTCTGTTAAATAAGTATTTGTTAAATGTTCTAAAGTGGCAATAAAACTAATAATATACTTACAACACAGAATAGCTTCTGTGTTGTAAGTATATTATTAGTTTTCAAGAGTTTCAAACTAATAATGAAACTAGAGTTTCATTCAAACAGATGATAAATGTCAGCTAACATTATATTGAAAAGTGCAGACTCCTTTTAAATAATTTTTTATTTCTCCCACTGCATTTCACATTTCTTGTCATAGTAGCATGCACCCTACTGCGTTTGTACAGTTCTTTTATGGACTGCATGACCTCCTCTGACTTTAGAGTGTATATGATGGGATTCAGCATAGGTGGTATTGTCTGTGTCAGGGAATTGTTAATTATCCGGGCGTTTGGATGGAAAAATGTTGTTAAGGCTGCAATATTATTGCTTAAAATTGGGAGATAAAAAATTGCCACCAATATGAGATGTGAGGTGCAGCTTTTCATGGCCTTGATCCGGTCAGCACCATGAGCAATCTTAAGCAGAGTAAGAGCAATGTAGAAATATGAAATAAAGATCAGTATTGGAGGTATGCAAATCAGAAGACCAAAGATAAGTTTTCCCATCATAATATTGTAACGGCCCTGTGGACTGTTTGTTGTGGTTTCTTCCCTTTGTGTTGGTTTAGCCCGTCTAATCATTAGTTAATCACCGTCATTGTGCTCACCTGTCTGCCTCTAATTATTCACCCCATATTAGTTCCTGTCTGTCTGAGCATTGGTGTCGGTTATTGTTAATGTTAATGTTACCCCGAGTGTGTGTCTCACCTACCTGAACCTGCCTTGTTGTGTCTACAATAAATGTCATTATTGGAATCCTTGTCGTCCTCGTCGTCCTGCCTGCCTCCACACACCCGTTTCCGTGACAAATATGCACAAAATTATCATTACAGGCTAGTCTATATATAGGGGCAAAATCACAGTAATAAGTATCAATTACATTAGATCTACAAAAAGAGAGTCTATTGACCAAATTTACATGTACAGAAAAAAAGGTCACAGAAACAATCCATATCACCCCTATGATCAGAAACATGGCTGGTTTGGTTACAATGGCATGATAGCATAGCGGAAAACAAATAGCAACCAATCTGTCATAAGCCAAAACAAGTAGTGTCAAAGACTGCAGATTCATGAAATGAAATACAAAAAACATATTTGCCAAACATGCTTCATATGAAATGTCCTGGTGCTCGAATAAAAATATGTCTATGAGTTTTGGAATCAAAGCTGAGCTTCCACACAGATCAGAAAGCGCCAGATGGAAAACAGCAATGTATTTGGCTGTGTGAAGTCTGCGGGCCAAATAAATGATACACATGATAAATGAATTCCCTAAAACAGTCACAACATACACTAAAGACAAGAACACATAGTAGTATTTTGCAAGTGGAATATTAACAAAGCCTTTGATGAAAAATGTTGCAGGATGAACAAAGGACACGTTTGCAGAGGAGTTTGACTGCATGGAGCTCATGATACCTGTTGGCTTTTTGTATCACCTGTGATGAAGAACTGTTATTGAAATGCACTCAGTAACTGAGAACATTCAAATATTGATTTCATTTCCAGTCACAGCGAATGTCCTGCTCTAATATGATAGATTCTAAAATAATAATGCAACCATTGACTCACTACAGTAAAATCATTAGATAGAAACAGCAGAAACACATGGTTTATACTCTACCTTCTCCAATACTGCCACACAGTCATTATTCTATCAGCTATCAGACATATTTATATTGAATCATTCTCCTGCACTTGGGACTTAGGTTCATGGATCAGCCCTTCTTCCTCCAGACTTCAGGGAAAAAAATGGTAGGAGTAATCTTTACAAACTATGATTGAGAAAAAAAAAAACAAGATAACAAAAACATTTCTCTTAAAGCTTTTTAAAGTTGATATAATGTATTGACCCATGATTTGCAAAGTAAAGAAATATACAGGGATTTTCATAGTCCTATTACTAAAAAGAAATTGTGGCATAAATATTTTTGATTTGTTATCTTCCATTTATCCCATCTTTTGAACAAACAGGCTTGTCTTCTTTTTATCTTTTTTCTTTTTCTTTTCCCATTATACCTCTCAGAGATGAACTGGAAGGTTCCACCCTTTTCTGTCTACAGACAACTGTCAAAAGTTACAAAATCAATAATACTATTGTATTGATAATACCTAGAATATCAAAATCAACTGCTGGAGGCAGATCCTTTTCCTATTTAGCGCCCAAACTCTGGAATAACCTACCTAACATTGTTCGGGAGGCAGACACACTCTTGCAGTTTAATTCTAGATTAAAGACCCATCTCTTTAACCTGGCTTACACATAACACACTAATACGCTTCTAATATTCAAATCCGTTAAAGGATTTTTAGGCTGCATTAATTAGGTCAACCAGAACCGGGAACACTTCTCATAACACCCGATGTACTCGCTACATCGTTAGAAGAATGGCATCTACGCTAATATTAGTCTGTTTCTCTCTTATTCCGAGGTCACCATAGCCACCAGATCCAGTCTGTATCCAGATCAGATGGTCACTGCAGTCACCCGGATCCAGTACGTATTCAGGCCAGATGGTGGATCAGCACCTAGAAAGGACCTCTACGAAATGAAACACAAAAAACATATTTGCCAAACATGCTTCATATAAAATTTCCTGGTGCTCAAATAAAAACACATCTATGAGTTTTGGAATCAAAGCCGAGCTTCCACACAGATCAGAAAAGGCCAGATGAAAAACAGCAATGTATTTTGCTGTGTGAAGTCTGCGGGCCAAATAAATGATACACATGATAAATGAATTCCCTAAAATAGTCACAACATACACTAAAGACAAGAACACATAGTAGTATTTTGCAAGTGGAATATTAACAAAGCCTTTGATGAAAAATGTTGCAGGATGAACAAAGGACACGTTTGCAGAGGAGTTTGACTGCATGGAGCTCATGATACCTGTTGGCTTTTTGTATCACCTGTGATGAAGAACTGTTATTGAAATGCACTCAGTAACTGAGAACATTCAAATATTGATTTCATTTCCAGTCACAGCGAATGTCCTGCTCTAATATGATAGATTCTAAAATAATAATGCAACCATTGACTC